TATCCCAAGCAAAGTTAAGTTGCCCTGATGGTTCAGTGAAAGCATTTTAAGCTTTGGGTCTTGGGTTCAAATCCCCACTGTAGCAAATAATAATAAAAAGAATAACTAAATCTTCTAGTTGGGCCTCCTAGCTCTCCAAACATTCTATGCATGTGATAGGGCTAGATTCCTCCATGTTTTGATCTTTTAATAGCTGGGCCTTTAGCAAATTGGTCACTTTGTGTTGCAATGCCTCTTGTGCTTTTCTGAGCCTGCCTCTTGTCATAGGTCCACCTAAGTCTTGGATTGGATCTTGATGTTAATCCTTCTCGTTATGGGCTTGGGCCTTTATGTCGACATCACTTAGCGTCCAAAAGGTCGGCTACCACAACCAAGAAAGAAATCAAAGGACAACTGGGCAAGAGGGTTAACTCCTTCACCCTCCAGCCGATCTTTTTGGCATATTGAGTCAACAGTCGGCTAGTCAGGTGAAGGGGGGGCAGCTGTAGACCCCAAATCTTGCCCGGTCTCAAAACAAAGAGTAGAAGACTTCCATTCTAAGATGGGCAAGTCCTAAAAGGTCCCTAAGATAGATCAATTGGCCCCATATTAGAATAAGAAGGATTTTTGTATGGGAAAAATAAGAAATTCCACCTAAAAGGCCAAGACTGTCATCTCGTCAATCGCCAATGCCGAGACCGCCTTCTCGTTTGGCGAGACCGCCGTCCCATTCGGCAAGACAGTAGTCTCGACCTTGTCAGGCGAGACGGTGGTCCCGACCTGATAGGTGCGAATTTGTATAAAAGGGGGGGATGTCCTCACCCTTTTCACAACACATAACAACTTTCACTTCTGCAATTTCTCCAAATTCTTCTCCTAGGATCCCTCCGAAGCATTTTTAGAGTTTCTTAGTGTTCTTAGTAAGAATCCTGTAGTATTGCGAGAAAGAGCGATCAACACTGTAGAGCATGGAGGTTGCCAAAAAGAACCTTTTTTTACCGAGAATATTAATACAAAGCTTGCTTCGAAGGTTCCTACACTTTTTATCTTCTTTTACCGCTTTCTTATTTCATTTATCTATGCATTAGCTGTTAGGGCCATGTAGTCAACACTTTAAATTCTACAAATGAATAAATAAGGGTAAAAGCGTACTTTTAGAGTTCTTTATTTATAAAATAAACGGTCCATCATAGGGAACCCGAAAGGGGCATTGTAGGGAAGCTAATACCTTCCTTACACGTAACTAACTCCCTTACTCAACTCTAGTTATAATGGCCAAAGTTGGTTTTTCTAAACCAACGCCTTCTTTTTTCCTTTTCCAATGTTTCTGGATAAAACATTGGTGGCGACTCCAGAACCTTTTTCGAAAACCTCGCCTTTAGGTCCAGCCCGGTTATCGGACAACCTATTCGCATCACTTTAAAAAATGTGAGTCGAAGCAAAACCATCGCGTCGCTCCGACCGCCTCTTTTGATGGCGGAAACAGATATGAATCAGAGAATGCAAGAATTCTTTTCTATATCTCAATAACGGAATCAAGAAATTATAAGACGAATTTTGGATGTGGACGAACGTGTATGTAATCTAGAAGATAGATTTGATGCACAATTCAACAGTGATGAGAGTGATGAGTTTTAATTCTTTTATCTTGTTTGTACTACATTGAATCATTAAATAAAATTCTATGTTTGCATTGTTTAAGGGGGAGTTGTTTACTTTTCTATTTAATGCACATGTTGAGGGGGAGTTTTATTTCTTTTGATAATAATCAAAATAGGGGGAAAAATATTTTAAAGCCTGATATGTTTAACAATTATAATGTTGCATGGTATGTTTAATAGTTTTGTTAGTTTTGACAGTAAAAACAGGTTATTACAAAGGACTTTAAAGCAAATTTTGATCATCATCAAAAAGGGGAAAATTGTTGAACATACAAAGATATGAAGCTTGAAGATTTTGATGATGATTCAAGAATAGAGAACTTAAAGACTTGAAGACTTATAATCATCTGTATTTACTTGTAATAACTCTATTTTGTCTTTTTGAGTCTGTAAAATTAGAGTCCAAGATAGCCAGCACATAATTCATCCTTTGAAAGTTCATTTTTATCAAAACAATTATGTAATAATCAATTATCATGCTTTGAAACCTGTTTTCTGAAAACTTTGTTGGAATAATCGATTATCTAGGTTGATAATCGTTTATCCCAGTTTGAAAGTTCTGGAATAATCGATTATCAAGCCAGATAATCAATTATCCTGGTCCAAAACTTCTCCTCTGCGAAAATGGTTTTGTAATAATCGATTATCACTCAAGATAATCGATTATCTACGTCTGTTATGAGTTTTGAATTTCAAATTTGGACCAATTACAAAAACCCTCTTCCCAATACTTCAAGTTTCAAAAATCATTATTTCCCATACTTTATTCTCTCTACTTAAGGTTCTCTAAGGCTCTCTGCAAAATAACAATCCTTTTTTCATACAAAAGTTAAGAGTTGTGATTGTTAGAGGACTTTGTGTAGGGAAGAAAAATGGGCTTCTGAAAACCTAGTGTGGGCTAGAAGCGATAAGAATCACTGAGTGGGTTTCTTGGTGGATTGTGTGTTGTGTCGTCTCTATGAAAAGCTTTTGTTCATCCTTTGTGGATTCAAAGGAGGTTTTCATCTCTTGTGTGACTCAAGAGAGGTGTTTTCTATTCCTTATCTTTTTCAATTTGTAATTTGTTATAACCTGTTATTATAGTGACAACGTTAATCCTCTTTTAGAGTGATTAGCAACTGGACGTAGGGTCTTTTGATCCGAACCAGTATAAATTAACTGTGTAATCTTCTTTCCTTTATCTCTTTTCTTTACAAGCATTTTAATCGGTGAAATTTGGGGAAAATTTTCAAAACCCTAATTTTTTTAAGAAACCAATTCACCCCCCTTCTTGGTTTTTTTCCCTAAACGCGAACATTTTGCTGTGCGATTCTAACAAAAACACGTTTGGAATAGGTTATTAGAACATTGGAATTCACCAATGTACTGCTCCAAATGTGTGCAGGCCCAAAAGAATAAGGCATTTGAAAAGGTAGGAGTCTACACATAGGTGGCTCCATCAGCATGTAAGAACATGTCATTCGTATGATAATTGGATTATATAATTATTATTTTATCAATATGATACAGACAAAGGAACTCGATAAATATGTTTTTGTTGATGAGATCTTCCAACAAACCCATATACATAAGAAAACGGGTCAGTTTGTTGATGAAAGGTCTAGGAAAATACACGTGAGTTCTTTCACTGTTAACTTTGTAAAGCTAATGATATCAATAATTTCTTTCATTGTATTTACAGGAAGAATTTGATATTAGACTTTTACAAGTTAGGTCATGTACTGCATCCTATGTTGGGGAAGCTGAATCTACACAGACTCAACACATGATGATGTTATTTGATCTCGTTGCTGGGTGGACATAGTTGCTGGAAAAAATAAGGGGAGACTTTATGGGGCTGGACAGCTTAGTCATGGGTACCATGATAATCTAATAGCCTCAAGCATCAAACTCTACCATCCAACACCTCAATAAACTTAGAAGAGATGAATCAGTTTAGACAATGCTTATCTGCATAAGAAGAGGAGATTCGTCGAACAAGGGAACATAACGAGTGACTATAGAATCAATGTCGAGAGTTTCAATCACTCGTGGATGCAGTTGCTGAGTACCTACCTCCAGGGCACAATCTCTCATTCAACAACGCCAACAAAGCCAAGACAATGAATAAAATCAGCCTCAACCACAAGAAGAAAACCAACAATAACAAGACATTAAAAAATAAGAAGATAACACACAACAAGAATATTCTCCTGAATATTCGCATTATTAGATAGTTTTTTCAAATAATATAAACACTTTATGTTTGAGTTTGTACTTGTTTATTTACACTTTATATAGAAACTTGTGCTCTAGAATACATTATAACTAGACTTCGATATTAGGTTTTGTTGTGGATAATTTAGATTATATTTGAGTTTTTTATGCTTCATTTCGATTATATATGAGTTTAATTTTGATTATAGAATGCCTAAATGTAGTTGAACTAAATCTGAATGATTTGTTATTGTATCTAGTGATGAATATATATATATATATATATATATATATATATATATATATATATATATATATAAAGGTTTTATATAGGTGTGGGTGAAGATAAAATGGAGAAATTTGCAGAATATATTGACAAAATTACCAATATCACATAATAACACATAATTTTTCGACATCGACGACACATAATTTATTGACAGACAAATTCTTCGATAATTACCGACGAATATCCGTTGATAAGTGTCATTGAATACATAACATTTATCATATTTTACCTATGGATAAATTCATCGATAATTACCGATCGGATAATGTTTCATCGATAATTATCGATGGAATCTCTCACTAATTAATGTGAGTTTGTGAAATTCTCGTTACTAAATTTTATAATAATGATATTTTTGACAAATATTTTCCGTAAATAAGTCAAATTTTCTGACATATTCTCAAGATTTTCAACAACTATGTCCATAGGTAAAACTAGTATATTTTCTAAAGAATCTCAAATATAAAGGTGATAATGATGAAATATTTTTCTAGAATAAATACTATTAAATTAAGATAAAAAATATTTTAAATCTACATTTTGTAATTATGTGAAATAAATATCATTTACATTTTTCAAACAATAAGTTCAAAAAAAAATTAAAATGTAATTTAAAATAATATTTTAACATAGATAATTATTCTGAAATACATAATCTAGAATAAAATAATCACATTTTAAATTATATACTTAGAAATTAAATTTATTTTATTTCGAAATGAAAAACTCAGAATATTGATAATCGGAAATAATACTTTTACTATTCTATACATGGTAAAAAAATAAATTTTAAATTTTAAAGAGCACGGAGGTGAAGAATGAAAAGTGTGGGGTACAGGAAAAGAAAACCCCAGTTGAAAGCCTGCAAGCCTAACCTTGTCGGGCCCAAATGTCAAATGGCCTCAAGCCCATCTTTTGATAATGTGTTTGTTTAGGCCGAATAATAATAATATAAACGTTTGTGGACTTAGAGACTAAACAGTAATAACATGTTAGTTTTTTTTTTTAATCCTTAAATTAATTTTAGGCCTTCATTATATTGTTAGTGATTTTTATTTTGAGTATTCAATTAGATTTTCTTTTAAATTAAGCATCCAATTGATTAAACATTTTTTAGTCCCTAAATGCAATATTTGTATTTATTTTTGGTTTAAGTAATTTTAAAGTCTTCAGTCTCCAATTTCTTTTTTATTATAACAATTGACATATATATATATATATATATATATATATATATATATATATATATGCATAATGCAGATAATGAAAAGAATTTAATATTAATTATTTATCAATATTCAAAATTGTGTGACAAGTAAAACAACTTAGCTTACACATGTAAATAGTGAAACTGACACACGAAACTTGAATTAAAATGATAATTTATTAAGTAACTAATTTAAAAGAAAAATTAATTAGATACTTAATATAAAAATAAATTATATATTAAAGATGCAAAACTTATTTTACCTTAAAAAAAAAAGGAGTGTAAGTTATTAGGTATTTTGCAGAAAGGATCATTTCTTTAAGCAAAATGCAAATTAGTATATGTCATGTGTAATATATTATATAATGAAGAAAACAAAAAGAAAAAATAAATGAAAATTTTGGTTGAATGTTTATATTTATAATTTCTTTTTCCAGCAAGTATGTATGTGTTGCTTTCATAAAACATTTTACACTTGTTAATCAAGACAATAAATATATGTTACATTTACATAACACCAATGTTTTTAAAATTAGATAGTAGTGAAAACATGATTTAGGATTTTGCATAATATTTTTATAATATATAAATTTAATAATATTACTTTTTTTAAAATAAGAATAAAAATAAAAATAATAAAATTTTTACTATAATTATTTAAATTATAATAAAAATTATAAATATAAAATATATTAAAAAATAAATAAATGAATAATAATTAAAATAAGATAAAAATATAATAAAATTACTATTATTTTAACTTGATGTGATTAGTATAGATAAATTAAAAATATTGAAAAATATTATATCTTTTACAACAAAAATTATATTTAAAAAGTTAAAAATTTTAATCTTTAAAATTTTTTATAATCAATTGGTAAAAAATATTCAGTATTTTTTTTCAATTTTTCTAATTTTGTACTAACTTAATTAAAATTTAATTATTTAAAAATAATAAATCGATTTTTAGATGTTTCTGGATTTAATCAATTAAAATTATAATAAAATTCAATTATTTATCATTATCATCTTAAATTACAATAAAAATTATAAATATAAAATATTAGAGAAAAAAAGACAAATAATAATTATCATAAGATAAATATAATAAAATAATTATTATTTAATATTGATTTGATTAACATTAAATAAAGAAAGAAAGAAAAACTAAAAAATTATATATTTTATAAAAAAATTCTATTTAAAATTTTAATTTTTAATTTTTTTATTAAAATTAATTCGATCCAAAAATTCAATTAATTTTTTGTTTTTATCAATTTTTTTAATTTTATATTAATTTAAAACTAAAATTAAATTATTTAAAAACATGGAATAAGTTTTTAGATTGATTTTTAAAATTAATTTTCGATGGACAGATCAACTAATAAGTTAAGTTTGATTTTTAAAATCATATACAAGACAATATTTTGTATACTTTGAACATATAATCTATTATATCTTTTTTTTAGTATCTTAATTAGACTTTTCACAAGAACCAATTGTTGATGTGAATAGTAAGTGAAAATTATGGGGAAAAAGAAAAAAAAAAATCAAACATCCATATTAACATCAGCTATGACTTATGCGTTATTCTTACTTAACTTTTTGGAATTTTATGAAAAGAAAAGAATCATACTAAACGTATATTTGAAAGGGAAAATTGGTTCCAAAATGAAAAGGGAATGCAATAATGCGTAATTGGAATTCATTTGTGAATAAAAATTGTTCTTTTAATTTGTGAGTGTAAACATTCTCAGACAGTGACTTTAAGAACGAAAGAAAAAGATACGTAAGCATGTTTTGTTTTTATTACATCTTAATTTCAACGTCAAAAAAAATAGGAAGTGAAAATGGAACACACACAGCCACATATTTGTGTTCCTTTTCCCAGTCCGAGGGAAAGGCAATATTCGAGCGAAGCAGCATGATTTGGGATACATATGCTCACATATTTTCCTTTTTCCTTCATTTGGAAGCTATTTGTAGGATTTTCACTTTTAAAAAAAATATTAGAATAATAATATCGTTTTAGCCAAAAATATGAGGGAAAAAATGCTTCAGATTTTTCGATAAAAAAAAAGTCATACTTATTCAATTTTGAAGTAAATGTCATCAACTAAACATAGAATCTACTAAAACTGTTATATTTATTAAAATATCTAAGTAACTAAAATTGTTTTGTTCATTAAAATATCTAAGTAATTTTTTTATGAATGATCTCAAAATTAGGATAAATTTAGACAAGGTTCACTGGTTATTTCGATCCACCAAAAAATGGTCTGAATTAATACGATTTAGCCTAATCTAAATAATTTTAATATGGTTTTATTTTTATTTAATCTAATTCAACTTGATTTAATTATTATTTTAAACTGTTAAAATAAAGAAATAATTTATATTAGTTTTACCTTAAATTCAGTGGACTAACCGAATTTTATAATGTATTTTCTGAAACGCTTTTAAATACGTGGAGAATACGAGAGAAATATAAGTTAATGTTAATGAGTGAACAAGTAATAATTAAGAAAAAAATTGTAGTAAATTTCCAATGAAACATATATTAAACTTTGGTTCTTGTCAAGAGACGAAAGGTTATGCTGCAAAATTTTATATCTTATATTAAAAGTTATGATTTTGATTTTCTAATTTTAATAATTATTTATTTCCTAATTTTAATAATTATTTATAAAGTTTTGTAATTTGTATTAATATTTATGATTCTAATTTTCTTTAACTTAATTATTATTAAATATATTTATTGTATATTTACAAGTTTATCTTTTTACCTTTTTATATTTTTTTTTATTTTTTCACATTCATTGATAATATATTATATTGATAATATATATCTATTATTTTATATTATCTCAAATAATAATGAATATTTTGGGTACTTGTCCTAATTATTAGAATAGTAGAAATAGATTAACCTTATTGTTTTATGTTTTATTAAATAAATTTAGTATGTCCTAATTTTTTAATCATGTATATTTAATAAAGAGAAATGAGTTATACATTTTATTAAATAAATTTAGTATATTCTAATCTTTTAATCTCGTAAATTTAATAAAGAGAAACTGAGTTATTTATTTTTCTTAAGTATCAATGTCAAAGTAAATAATTTCCTTCTTTTTAAATTAAAGATTTTAGAATCAATTAAATCTCTTTAATTAGGATTTGAACTTGGGATCAATTAGTTGACCGTCAATTGCTTTATCACTTAATAAATACATATATTAAATGTAATTTCAACTAATTAGATTGGATATATATATATATATATATATATATATATATATATATATATATTAGATAATTAATTAAAATATATTTTTATATTAGAATAATTATGATTAAATATTAATATTTAGAATTTTCTTTTACCCTAAAGTAGTAAATTCTAAAGTTAAGTGGATGAATAGTAAATTCTAAAGTTAAGTGGATGAATGGATTGAGCTAAGAACATTGAATATAGCATAAATGCATGTGGGATATGGACTCCACCAGCACATGAAACAAAGGACGAAGCACCTTTAGTTTAGCCACAGGTGGCCTTTATTAGAAAGTCTTTGTACCATGTCCAATAAAAGTTGTGTTTGCAAGCATGCAACGCCTCAGGAATCATCACCACCACACAAACCCATCCAACCTAAACCCCATCCCAATCTGGTCTTCACTAACTTCCATACCACGCACATCAACCTGATGTTGATGCCCTTAAATACCACCACCACAATCTTTTCTTCATCTCCCATATATAACGTTGTTCTTCAATATCAGACACAGTTTGTCAAATGTGAAATCAGTTAATGTAGATACAAGTTTTGCAAAAAAACTAAGGTGTGACGAGTTGATTTTCAAGCTAGCATGGTAAAAGAGTATAAAATATCATTTGATGACTACGTATATGAATATCGTTTAAAAAGATGTAATGATAATTATGAAAAGTTATAAAATAAATTATTTTTGTATGTTCAAAATGTTAAGAAATCTCATATCTTATCTTATAATTTGTGTTTGTATTAGAGAAAGGAAAAGAGGAGTAAGATAATGGAAAGTGAGATTGTTTATATGGAGGGAAAGAAAATAGAAGGTGAAGATAAATGAGTGAGAAGATTATAGAATATGAGATTGATGTGATTAAATAAAACAATTGTAATAATAATTTAAAATGTGTAATAACAAAAATACCGTTATATTGATAAAAGATATAATAAGAATAAATTAAAATTGTGATATAATTTAATTTAAATTAATAAATTTATATTATACATAAATTTGTGACATATATTAAAGTTATACTATATATAAAGTATAAAATTAATTTGTAATATTTGTAAAAATATTTGAAATGTTAGGGTTTATTATGCTAATAATAATTTTATTATACTATATATAAAGTATAAAATTAATTTGTAATATTTGTAAAAATATTTAAAATGTTAGGGTTTATTATGTTAATAATAATTTATAATTTATATTAAAATTGTGAAAATTTGATTTTACATAAAATACAATATTTAAATTAAAAAAAAACTAAGACATGTATATAAAATGTGCAAAGTTATTCAAAGTTAAACCGAATAGAAAACTATATTCATAATTAATAAAATTACAGTCATAAAAACATGCAATTATCCAAATAATTATTATAATCATCTAAAATAAAAACAAAGGTAAATAAATACAGTCCTCCAAAATTTAAAAAAAGTGCGGTCATCCAAAATATTAATATTAAAACATAATTCAAATAATATTAATATTAAAACATAATTTAAACGATGAAAACATAATTCAAACCTGTAAAATATTAATATTAAAACATCAAGGGGTAATTGTTCAGACAAACATAGTTCAAATAAAAATAGTTCAAATATTTTACACACCATAACTATGCAAATTACAAGCTAATAACATCATCTAAGAGGAGTCTCCACTGGTCATGTGCTTCAATAAATAATTAAGTCGCAACTGTGGAGGCATGCCGAAAATCATGTCCCTATGGATGGGGTTTGTGCAGATAAACTCATAACACTGTAACATCAATTCATCATTATGCAAATTAAGCTCGCATAGCAGTTGCCATATATCGTTAGTTGAATGTTGTAGTGTTGCAGAGCTATTCTAGATCATCACTTGTTCCCTCATCAAGTCAGTCTGCCTCTCTGTTACGTTGGTCTAGTGCTCGACAACAATAACTTGACATTCAACAAGATCAGTCAACCTTGCAGAGTATCGGTCACTCTCACCAATTTTGTCCACTAGATTGTGTATCCCTGTGCTCATATTTTCAAACTGAGCACTCAGGTCTACATCTACCATGGACACCTTTCTCTTAAATTCCCGTGACCAATGGCGGATCTTCTTGGGAGCTGAGGGAGGTTGTGACCCCCCCAAAGTTTTGTAACTCCCACGTAATTTATGATTTTGGCCCCCCCAAACTTAATGAACATTTTATATATTTACTTGTTTATTTACAATTTTATCCTCTCAGCCCTTCTCAGTTTTGTAACTCTCATATAATTTATTATTTTGTCCCTCTCAAACTTAATGATCATTTAATATATTTAAGCATATATCTACAATTTTATCCTTTCACCCTTTCATCTTCTTTTTTTCTTTTATATTTATTTATTATTTATTAATAATATATTATTTGGCCCCCTCAAGATCAATGTTCAAGATCTGTCACTGCCCGTGATGAAGATGTTCCTAGAAAAGGGACAGATGGAGAGACCCTTGGACTGTAAGAGTCCATATGGTGTGGACTTGGCTACATCTCATGAAACATTGGATGATACTCATCGTGCATAAAAGGATTTGCAGCATCACCATTCAGATCGACGTCTAAGTCCATTGTGAAACCCCTGTGCCTATGGACCTAGTGTGTCGTCCTTATCATGTGCCTAGTGGTACAATCATCTCCCCACAACTATTCCAACAAGTTATATAATTTGATTAGGGTTACTTGCCATTAAGCAGATGGTTTAGCTTGAAAAAAGGAATAACGTTTACACACTTGTTGATGCAAAGTTTAATCATTATAAATCATTGTTAATTGTATATATTTTTCACTTCATTATTGAATCAAGTCATTCTAAACTTCAGGCTCAGCTTCAAATCTTCTTGTGGCTTATTCCAAGCAAAACTGTTGATGTCATTAAACAAATCATGTACCTCTCGCCAATGATCCTTAAGACTTTTTTGCTTATTTTTCACATTGTTCTTGTTTATGCCAGTATAACTTGCCTAGCATAGTGTATGGACAATGTTAGTGTATGCTTGAGCAATCCAATTTCCATTTATCATATTTCCAGCTCGGGCCTCATCAATCATTGTTGCTAATTGTTGAAGATCCATATCTTCAATCCATTTTGTAAATTCACGCATGTTTTGGCTGAGATCAACTTGTCATTTTTCTCTGCTCATTGTAAGTCTACCAACAACTAACTTCCGCTACCTTATGTTATTGTTATCATCGTCATTTAATTAGAGATAAAAAGGTATCCATATCGCCAATTACACACAAAATAAATAAATAATAATATAAACAAAACAAAGTTGACATCTACTTTATTGTTGATAATCAGTCCACATTTGAGCTGCTATCATATCCATCAAGTTAGCCTCTTCCCTATAACCATCCTCATGAACTTGTGTTGTAGACCTATTATCCTGATATTCCTAGATGTTTCAAAGCAATAGTGGGGTTCTGCCCCATTTCCTATTATGGGAAATCTTTTTTCCAGCACACTAAATGTCCTCTCAATCACATTTGTTAATGAAGAATGATGACGATTAAACAATTCCCGGGGATTTTGAGGACCTCTTTGTAAATACTCTTTTAGGTGGTACCTTACCGCCTGATATGGAGTAATAATTTGAGCTTTCAACATGAACCCTGCATCTCCCAAGTAATATTTGCCTACAAAAAATAACATTAGTTAGTATTTGCAATAAAACGCTCATGTCAAGTAATAACACTATCATTTGGTGAATTCTTCATACCTTCAAGTATGGTGAGAGGATCCTCCCTTGTTAGGGCATCTTTTAAAATTCTAGAATCATATGTTGTTCGTTCCCATCCTGCTAGAAAATATACGAATTTCATGTCAATATCACAAGTGGCAAAAACATTTTGGGTTGGCCAATCTTTTCTACCACGAAAACAGGGTGCATCTGATCGTAGTACCTTGACTCGAACATGAGTTCCATCAATCACCCTAACACAATCCTTAAAATAGGGATAAAATCTCATATTGTTATAGATATGTGGTTGGACATCCCTTCTAAAGGGTTGAACAAAAAATTCTTCCTCTAATGATTGAATTTAAGACGTTGTGAAAATGTCGACTGACAATCTCACCAAATTGATGAAATAAAAAGGAGATAGTTTGATTTTTTACATTATGCCCTAAGATATGTAAAAATTTAGCAACTTGATCTTCTATTGTTGACCTAAACACATCTTTTACCATATTAGTTACTCTTAATCGATGATAAAATTGGATGAAGGCCTCAGGTCCCATGCAAATAATATCCCGACTTCACTCTAAATGTCCAAGATACAACATCAACTCACATCTACTACGATCTTTTTCAACAACATACAAGTTAATGTTGCTAGTGTTGGTAGATATCATTTCTAACATGTATAATGCATGGAAAAGACTACACAACATCATTAGCACCCCAACTTTCACATTTTGTTGTATTTGATCTTGAGCATGACATATTATATTCATGTTCATCCCGAGAACATTAGTACTCATTTGTTGTTTATCTTCAAAATCCATATAATCTTCCACTCCATTCTCCATGATGAAAGAATAATTTCTATGTACACAAAAATATTTTATTTTAATTAATTATATCATATTATGGGTAATGATAATAATAAAATTGTTATTAAATATTTAATATTATATTAATTTTGTATGTTCTAAATAAATAAGTATACCTTAACTTAAAATTAATATTAATTGACAAAAAATTATACCCTCAAATCAATAATTTTTAACATATAAATAATTACTTAAATTCTATTTTTAGACCGCAAAAATTTTTTTTATACATATAATTTTAACATTTTTCACATTGAACAATTTTTCTTATACATATAAATAATTACCTAAATTCTATTTTTATTTACTGTTAATTGTACATTTTAACTGCTCACCTTACGCCTAAGTTGCAAAAAATTGGGTGTACTTATTTATGCTTATTAGGGAATAATTATTTTTATCTACTATTGATTTAATTATTTAACTCTTCACCCTATTAACTTCTAAAAATTGGGTACCGTTAATTATACATTACCATTGTTTATTTTTTAAATCCAATTATTCTTATACTAACATTCAAACTTACTTAACACATACATGACTAATTTTTCATACTTACCTAATTGGTACAGTTATTTTTCATATTTAACTTAACATACATGCCTAAAATAAACAAATATTATCTCAAACATATTTCCAAAATTGTATTCCTTAATCTATTACATGTGAACAATCACAAGGCATCCATGGAAAATGTTTTCTTTACAATTTCAACAACAATGAACAAAAATAATATAAAAACTCACAAGGTATCGCATGCAGGGATCACGTTCAGAGATCACATAATCGATTATGTGTGCCTTCATAATCGATTAACAACAACCTCTTAATCGATTATGCTACTATACATAATCGATTATGCAGTTGAACATAATCGATTATGTACTCCTTCATAGCCGATTAGAGGAGCCCACATAATTGAATATGCTTTCTAGCTTAACATATCTATTAATGGCACTTCATGTAACCAATTCAAATATCAACACAATAATTCAATAACAACGCATGACACAAGGAAATTTACATGCTAAATAACTCAAACAAACAACAAATTACATAACAAGAAAAAGAAATACCTTATTCGAGTGGGTATAAGATGAAGTTCTTGGATGCGCTGTAAACTCCTCTTTTTTGCAAAATGGATGATGAGAATGGAGGAGGAATGAAACTGCAATGTATGGCACTTCTCATAACCAATTTTGACAGCAACACAATTAGCCAACAACAAATGCATGACACAAGAGAAATTACAAATGAAATCACTGAAATGAACAACAAATTCCATAACTACGAAGGACAAAATACTCATTGGATTGGGTGAATGATGGAGATCTTCGACTTGGAGGTAGACACCCCTACAAAGAAATTTCAAATTTCTTATGGGAATGGAGGAGGAATGAAACCGCAATCTTCACTTGCGAGAATGACTGTATTTATGCACGAAGAAGGCAATGGTTCATGAGATGGTATTCAATTTATGAATTGTGCAAGCCAAGCTCATTCAACGCGCATGGTCATGTATAGTGAAATGTTATAGTTCTTTTGTTTCAAGTGTGCCTCGGGCCATGGTATCACCACACTATTGTTGCAGAGATTCTATTGGATGCATGAACAACTCTGCGAATACATCAGACAAAGAAAATGTAATATGGTCATTTTGAATGATTTATATGCATTTCTTCACATAGATAGAGGGTTGATACCATGAAACTTTCCCCCTCTCATTCCCTCTCAAATTAGCAGAAACAAACATAAGTGTCACCCTCAAATCCGCTCCCCCAATTCTTTCACTACAATGAATCAACAAAAGCAAACATAGGCATTGAGTCAGTTTTGCAATGTTAAATTATGTATTTCACAATTTTTAAGATGGTATCAGAGCAAACTCTAGAGATATTAAGACATAAACCATTAATAGTTATGAACTGTCTCCTCTAGAGATATTAAGACATAAACCATTAATAGTTATGAACTATCTCAACATTTCTAATATGACAATAGAGTTAACTCTATTCATATTGATATTTAATCCGTTAAGCAATGTGGACTAAATCACTCATTATGAGACCAATATTGAATCACTCATCCTCGATATGAGGAGGTGTGATAAAAAAAATTCTCTTCAATATGAGGGGGTTTGATGAAAAAATTCTTCTTGATAAAAGGGAATATGTTGAAAAATCTTCCATTGATTAGAGATATGATAACATTATATAATATAAATGAGTACAATTCTCACCTTACATAAGCGATTTTGTCGGATTGAATTAGGCATATCACAATTTCTAAGATAAAATAATAATTTTTTTATGATAGTTTTTTTTCTCATGACTCTCGTCATATTTCAATAAGAAAACAATTCAATATATACTAATGAACTTCTTTTAAACAAGTCAGAAATATAAGATGAATTGAAGATGATTCTATTAAAAACATACTTGATGTAACTACTAAAACTTTCATTTAGAAATTACATTATATTAAATAATAATAATAATAATAATAATATTTTCTAAATTTCATTGAATAAGATTTATTACATAAGAATTATAAATATAATCATTTTCATTCAAAACATTAATTTCAGAATTTTTAACTACCGTAATATCAAAGATTTTAAAATATCATTTTTAAGTACATGTGTATCTGATGAAGTTGATCTTCTTGTCAAGATTTCATCAAATAATTGCAATGAAAGTAATGCAGTACTAGAATTGGCCTAGGTCGTATCCTTAAGGAGAATTGTTTTGTTTTGTTTTAATCTTGATTTTCAATGTCAAAAGCTAGAAAATAAGGGAATTTTTGGAATTTTCAATGCAAAAAAGTAAATTGAAAACAATAAACTAATCTATTGAAAACAGTGAATGAAAGCATGTAAATGAAAACATTAAACCTAAACTATGAAAGCAATTAAAGAAAACATTTAAAGAAAGCATTTGAATCTAATTTATGAAAGTTGTAAATTAAGAACAATGAAGATGATAATAAGAAACCATGTTGATTCTCTAATCATAAACTTGTTTTTATGATTATTATTGATTTCTATGAAATTGTCTTACAATCACAAAAATAAATCCACAACAATTCTAATCAATTACCATCCATTTGAAATTCCTATTCACAGATCAATTCTTAAATTAAATAATCACTTAAACCTAGAAGTTGAATTATGATATAAAAGAGACATTCAATAAAATAACATCACCTACAATGATTATAATAGGTTAGAATCATTAAAAACCAAATTTAAATCATAGAAAACAAGTTTTAATTGGTGAATCAACAACAAAATCGAATTAAAACAAGGTGAACAAATTGAAAAGCAGAAATAACATGAAACAACAAAGAAATGAGTGGAAGAAGATGTAGAAAATGAAAACAGAAAGTAAAACAAAAGAATATAGAGAAGATGAAACAAAGTTGATCAAGGTGAACTTCAATTGATAAACTTCATAGCATTATTCGTACAAAAAGCTTCATGAACAAACTTGGAAGCTAAACATCACTAAAAACTAAACTAAACTAGAGAAACTTGAGAATGAATTTGTGACTAAAACTTAACTTACATTTTTCTGCCTTCAAATACTTATTTATACAACAACAAATGCATATAAAACGATTAAAGTTCATTCAAGGTCCATAATTACAAAATAGAACTTAAAATAACATTATGCAAAAATGAAATTCGATGAGTCTTCTCAGCAGATTGGAAATCGTTCAACAGATTTATAGTTAAATTAGTCACGTAAGATTTTACACATTACGCTCAATGGATAAAAAAAGACTAAGCAAATAAAAAAACGCTCAACGGATAACAAAGCGTTGAACAAATAACTGATTTTAATATTTTAAGATAATCTCACTTAGCAGATTAAAAAATGTTCAACAAATTTCACTGTTCTAATTTTTATAATTTTCTTTAATTTATCATTGTTACAAAAGAAAATAAATAATCAATTATAATGTACCCTTTAAACAATAATTTATATTAAGATATATTTATTTCTTTTTTAAAAAACTATATTAACTATTAATAGTTAATTTAAAAATATACTAAATATATAAATTATATTAATAAAATGTGTTAATGATTAAAGGCTTCATCGAAATCGTGTTTGAAGTTTAACGCGTGATTGTTGTCGTTTGGCCAGCGTGCAACTGCAAACTGCCCTACCATACCACTGGCACAAAACTGAGAGACAAAGGAAGGAACAGATTCATTATCATTGGTAAATTCTTTCCACGAGAAAGAAACCAAAGTAAACCAGCTTTCATTCACTATTATATTATTCCATGTTTTACTTGTGGGCTCGTGTGTGTTGGTTGGTTTCATCACCATGATACTAATTACATGTTTAGTTTTGCGTAAGATCAAATTAAATATAGATTATAAATTATTTATCTTTAATTTTTTAGTAGTTTGTATTTTTATATTCAAATATATTATTAATATTAAATATGGATTAGCTTATCTGTTCGATTTGTTTCTTTTTTTTTCTGATTTTACCACTAAAAGAAAAAACACATTTAGCCACCGAAATTAGCGACCGAATTTTTTCGGTCGCAATTAGCGACCGATTTAGCGACCACTTTAATTCAGTCGCAATTAGCGACCGATTTAGCGACCAAAATATGATTTGGTTTTCACTTTTTTATTTAGCGACTGAAATAGCGATCAATTTTTGTGCGTCGCAAATTTTCAGTCGCTAAATCGGTGGCTATTTCATACATAAATAAAAAAATCATTTAGCGACTGATTTAGCGACCGAATTACAAATTGAAATAGCGACCGAATTAAAATCAGTCGCTAATGAGAAAATAATTCATGATTATATCTGATTTTTGCAATATCGCTCAAGCGAAAATAACATCGCTCGAGCGACGCCACCTGCACAAAATTGGCATTCTTGGGTTGTATTTCACTTGAGCGACACTATTCTCGCTCGAGCGACATCCGATTCAAACATGAGGCACCCAGGTTACATTATCCGGCTAACTTTGATCGATGTTTACGCAGGTCAACATTCGCTCAAGCGAAAGTAACATCGCTCGAGCGACGCCACCTGCACAAAATTGGCATTCTCGGGTTATATTTCGCTTGAGCGACACTATTCTCGCTCGAGCGACATCCAATTCAAACATGAGGCACCCAGGTTACATTATCCGGCTAACTTTGATCGACGTTTACGCAGGTCAACATTCGCTCAAGCGAAAGTAACATCGTTCGAGCGACGCCACCTGCACAAAATTGGCATTCTCGGGTTGTATTTACGCTTGAGCGACATTGGTCTCGCTCGAGCGATATCTCGATGCAAAAATGTGTCTATAAATAAAATATTTGTCACCAATTAAAACTTGTTTTTCTATGATTTAAATTTGGTTTTTAATGATTCTAACCTATTATAATCATTGTAGGTGATGTTATTTTATTGAATGTCTCTTTTATATCATAATTCAACTTCTAGGTTTAAGTGATTATTTAATTTAAGAATTGAGTCTGTGATTAGGAATTTCAAATGGATGCGGTAATTGATTAGAAGCGTTGCGGAGTTTGTTTTTGTGATTGTGAGACAGTTCCACTTAGAAATCAATGGTAATCATAAAAACAAGTTTATGATTAGAGAATCAACATAGTTTCTTATTATCATCTTCATTGTTCTTAATTTACAACTTTCATAAATTAGATTCAAATGCTTTCTTTAAATGTTTTCTTTAATTGCTTTCATAGTTTAGGTTTAATGTTTTCATTTACATGCTTTCATTCACTATTTTTCAATAGATTAGTTTATTGTTTTCAATTTACTTTTTTGCATTGAAAAATTTAAAAATTATATTTTCTAGCTTTTGACATTGAAAATCAAGATTAAAACAAAACAAAACAATTCTCCTTAA